TTCCTTCATTTATTATTTTTTTGGGGGGGGGGCATGGGGGATCAAACTCGGGTCCTTGTGCTTGCATAGCAGGTGGCAAAACCACTGAGCTAAATCCCTGGCCCCTCATTTATGTTTTATATACTTAGTATACAGGTTTGGTTAATTTATTTCTAACATTTTATTTTATTTTTTGATGTCATTGTAAATGGTATTCCCTTGATATCTTTTTTTAGTAATTCATTGATAGTACATAGATATACTGCTGATATTTTAATGTTGATTTTGTAACTTGCAACATTGCTGAATTTATTAGTTCTAACAGATTTTCTTTAAGGATTTCTGTATATAAAATATCACATCATGTGCTGGTAGGTTGTTTGAGATTTTTATTTGCTTTGATGCAGATGCTTATTGTTATTAACTTTCTTCTTATAATTGTTTTTGGGGCATTTCCTAAATTTTGGTATACTTTAACTATTGTTCTTTTTGGGGTATCTCAAGATATATATTTTTAAGTTCTTCTTAATTTGCTTTCTTGACCCATTAGTTGTTCCAGAGCATTTTGTTCAATAACATTTATTTGAAAGTACTCTAAAATTTGACCTTCAACAACAGATCCTTTCTGCAGGAATAAGTAAGAAGGTTGTGAAAAAATAAAAAAGAATTTCACATGAGAGAATAATGATCTTTCAGTATAAAAATTAATCACTCTTGGGCCGGGGATTTAGCTCAATGGTTTCACCGCCTGCTGCACAAGCACAAGGACCTGAGTTCAATCCCCGGTACCAAAAAAAAAAAAAAAGGTAATCACTCTCAATACATTTAAATGAAAGAAAACTTGAATAAAGTTTCAATGTATTTTATGCTGTATTATTAGCTATAAATTCAACCACTACATTAATGATTCTAGGTTTTAAGGAGAATATTGTCTATGCTATCCACATACATTATAAAAGTGTAATAACATGTGTATAGATTCATCCTCCTTCTAAATATAATTCCTATTGAAAATTGTTAACACATTCCACCGAATATGTCTCCACTGACAAATGGGACAATTAGGTTGAAAGCATGTGGTATACGACCTCTGACCTCTGACTGTAAGAAAATCTTGTTTGACGAATGTGTGTTTAGATCTCAGGAAGAGAAGTGAACTGTTTTAAGCTGAAAGGGTCTCCTACATGTAAGCATAACTAATTCCACAGCACTCCTGGATTATCCAGGAGTGACTACTGCTTCAATACGTGCTAGAAAAGTCTACCAAACAGCTGATCCTCCGTGTTTTCTGTCTTATACCAATCAACTTTCTCCTTAAACAAATCAAAGGGCAGGACTGAGAAAACGTCCACATTAAAAAGTTCATAAAATGAAGTAAGACATTCCACTATATTCATGATATCGCTTTAAAAATTATTTATTTGTTTATTTATTTTTGTACCGGGGATCAAACTCAGGACCTTGTTCTTGCAAGGCAGGCAGCGGCACCACTGAGCTAAATCCCCGCCTTCTCATGATTTCTTGTTGGAAAGAAACTGAAATAGAAAGTTTTGGACATTTTACTATGCTCTGAGACCCTGTTATTATCTTTGAAATTGCTGCTTGTTTTTATTTGCTGTTTTATTGGGGGTTTTTGTGTATATATCACTGGAACATTTAAGCTTCTATTTAAGTTTATGTTCATTCTAGGTCCCAATAATGGCTATAATTGCCAGATGGAATTTAATTATTGTACTGCTATTATCATTATGTCAAATTTCTTGCCATGATATTGTGATATTTATTCTGTTAATGTAGATGTTGAGGCACAGCATGATTAAATCATCTATTCAAGATATGTTTGAATAAATAGAATTTGGAAAAGTTAATAATCTCTTAGTAATAAATGTCTAAGAACAATCTGCTTACAAAACAAGGAACTATTTTCTTCTGAAAAAACTATTATATTTTCCTAGTGGATATTTTGAACGTTAAAATGGGAAAGAAATTTCCTAGTATAATCTGCAATGATTGTTGTTTATATTTAAGGTAGTAATTAATTAAAAGTAGAGGAATCAAGAATACATCAACAAAAATACTTGCACAAGTCAAATATCAGACATCGCAAAATAAAAAGGAGCACTAATAAATGGCCAAACCTCTTACTGAAGCAATAACAAACAAACATTTAGTGACATTTGCCTATTCCTTACAACAATATTTCCCTTGACTCCCAGGTGAATAATCCCTAATAATACGGAATAACCTCTTCTTCATGCTGGAAGTAGAAAGACAGAAGTTATGCCATTTTAGAGGCATAATAGTGTGTACTAGAAAATGAGAGACTTAGTCCCATTTTACGATAACACATATGTTGGTTACATCCTCCCACAGATGACAAGAAAATATGGTGAGGTATTTATTTAACCCAAATCATGTATGTACCCCTTGAAAGTATAGTATAACAAAAATTCTTATCAGCTCCCTGGGATTGCTGTTAGAAAATACTTTTTTATAGTTTGAGTTTTAGAGTCTAAATTTTGGATTCATATTATTAAGGTTGAAATTTATGCTCCCCTGTTCTAAGCTTTGTAAAGAGGACTGAGTCCCTTAACTTTTCTTGATCTCGGTGTTCATCAGCTATTAAATAAGAATTATATTCTAGCTGCCTCACAGGATTACTGTGTGATGTAAGTAACATCATAAAGGAAGTCCAAATTTTCTGCTGCTAAAGCATTAGAATGTCCCTTCCTACAGATTTGCTCCACAGCTGAATAAGTATGTCCACAGTTTAGTATTCCAAAATCTGAGGCCAAATCTGAAGTGTGAAGCCCCGTTTGGTTTAATGAATTCCATCAAAAAATTTCCTATAAAGCCTGCTTCAATTCATACATAATTCACTGAATTAAAATGCTGAGCCAAGTAGAAATAAGCATTCATTTCATTGTGTAGATTACGTGTTTCCCTTATTTCAAACACATGGTAGGCTGATTTGCAAGAAGGAAGTGAAGTCAAAAGTAAATAAGGATATGGGTGGGACTCAACCTAGAATATAAGACTCTTTGAGGACTTAGAATTTATAGCAATTCCATTTGGCGAATTCTAGCCATGACAGTCATGTCGACCTTGATTCTGAACAGAATTCTACCACACGTTATGATAACTGAAGTATAAAAGATCCCTGGAATATGCACTCATCTTAAGGCTCCATGGGAACAAGACAAAACAGAAAACCAAATCCACATAATTTTTAAGACACCACGTAGGAACAGTAAGTGGGGATGCAAAACAAATTTAGAAAACTATAACTGCATTTCCTGAAAAAAATTGCCCTTCCGGTGAACTCTTTGACTTACTAAATTAATGACAGGCAAGTCAGAGAGAAATGATTGAGCGAAGATTTGCGATTGCACCATCCAGCTGTAAATTAGAGAGAAAATAATCTGCTATGTTTGATAACAAATAAATAATATTGTGGTCAAGCTCAAAGGGTAGTTAAATGATTTGTACAAATTATATTAATAATTGACTCTCTGGCTCCATGTGCAATCTAAGAGGAAAAGTAGAGAGTAAACCAGAGCAATAAACCATCACTGTTTATTGATTCCCTATCCCAGGAGATGACCTGAGTCGAGGGACAGCAGACTCACTGTTGATTGGAAAGGCAGACGTGCAGGGATCACGCGAAGCAAGAGAAGTGCTGTGATTGATAAGGGACCGAGCTGCCTGTGCTGGAGGGATAAAGTCCATTTTGAGGCTGGGATCTCCAGGGAATCCATGCACAGGACTAATTGACCTAAGGCGGGATAGATCAGTGTGGTACTTTGCCTCACCATTCTGCAACAGTGTGCCGAGACTTCCTAGGGAATATCATTATCTCTGGGTTGGCATTCAACTTCTGTATATTAGTATAGGTGGAAATAAATCCATGCAACTTGGGACTTAGCTGCAGCACTGAGTCCTGTATGGCACCCAGTTTTTCAAGTCCTCAGGAGCCTCAGCTTGCTCACTCCCCAATCAGCTATCTCTGGTTCTCATCAAAATAGCCCAAGATCTGGAGGAGGTAGGTGGTGCTCCTAGGTCTGCTGTCACTGGGTGGTGCTTCTCCTCCCTACGGAAACCTTTGAAAACCATGACATGGACAGTAGGAGATACATCATTATCTTGACCATTCATCTTGCCATACTTCTAAATACTCCTACTACTCTATCTCCACACTGTCCAGGGAAAAATGGCCGAGTGTCTTTCCTATACAGATACCGGAGCATGAAAGAAAAACAGGCTGAATCAAAGAGGCCATCTAAGTTCCATGTCTCTAGTCTCACCCTCTGGCCAATTAAACTTTGTATTTGGAATAACTACCACATATGGAAACATTTTTTCAATTTCCACCCTCAATCCTCTTGAAGGTATAATTTGGGGTGATGGTGACTCTTAATTAATAACTTCAGCCTGGCCTGACCATTAAGAAACAGAAAGATGGAAATTAAGCATAGAAGGCACCCAGGGCTATGGAACACAAGCTCTGACTTCCAACATCAATTTTATCTAACTACAAGGTTTGTTACCTGGTTTAGTGTCTCTGGTTTAATTTGAGACTCAACTGTCACAGCTTGCTCAACTCAGTAATGAGAGGCAATTTACTTAAGAGCCTTGTTATCCAGAAACCTTTAAGTGTGCACACCATCAGCAGAGTGGGAACACCGTAATGTTTTAAAAGTTAAAAATGGCACTATTTTCTTCCTATAAAATTTTGTTGATCCATATTTTCATCATTAACTCCAAATAGCTCATGTAGATTAATCTCCAATTTCATTCCTAAACCATTCACATGGAGGCACTCTACTTGTGTTTTAGGAATAAGTGCAAAATACTTTTAAATCATTATATATAACCAATGAGAAGACCCTTTGTGTATATGTATCAAGAAAATAAAGGAGGGTAATAAGAAAATATACGCTTTCAACTAGAAGCTACCAACTAAACAGATAACAAATGTAGGATACAATTTCAAAAGCAGAAAATGACAAGAGGCACTATACCTGCTGTAAATCCAATGTAATTGTCACATAATGGTATTCAATTCCATTCTTTATACTGGGACTCTGCCACCAAGTGTTCTTTCCATCGATAGCATTTGCAATTGGATGTCTCTCTATAAGTCAGCAGGAGCGTGAAAAAGGAGGAGAAAAGAGCATTGATTAGTTTATAGTTATTCCTGTAAAGAAGAAAAGCAAAACTAAGTTAAAAACAATCCTCCTGTGGGTGTCAGACATTAATAAGACAGCAAGTCATATGTTCAACTGAATTTCTCTTCATGACAATTTTTTCATAGCATTGCACATTGTAGTAGGAAATAGCTAGATGCTAAGACTTCCAACCATCAACGAAATTGGGCAACTTTAAAGATAACTACAGAAGTTAAGTGTGAAGAAATAATACTGAAATCCAATTGATATGTCAGTCATTCCTCAAAGCAAAAACTTTTCTGAGACAGCTCTAGTATACCATCAACTTTGTTAACAGATACATAGCCTCCTGGATTGTAGTTGGAATGCACGTGAAGATTTGCTCTTCTGACACATTCTTTATTACCAAGACTTGGGCAATCCAATAGGTATCTCGTTTTAATATAAAATGCTGTCACACTCCTCCTATGGGACTTTTTTTTCCCAACAAGTCTTTAACGTGCTATGTTTCTACCACTATTTTAAAGTATAATGAAAGATACTCTTTGGCTTGCATCCAAAATTTGCCTGGGCCCATAATCAATGACTCTAGAATGTGAAGGTATCTAGGCAATAACAAGGAAGGGAAAACTCCAGCCAACAGACAAAACATGGGTCCTCTCTTGCCCATCTTCCGCACAAATGACAAGAGGACGTGTGAGAATCAGAAGTGAGACTGGAGATAGAAAAGTATGTATGGACCAACACTAAGGACCCCTCAGTCCTTTGCTAAAGTACCCTTCCTTTCCACCAGCCTCAGAAGGTAGAGATCCCCCAATCCCCCAGCTCAGCTCCCCATCTCAGGACAGCGGCCATTGCCTGTGGTTCCCTTTCATTGATTTACATCTTAAATATTTGCTTCTCATTTGCAAGCAACAGAAGTTCTGTTTCTTTTCTCCTCATCTCAGTCTCAACAGGCCCTGCCTGCAGATAGGTGAGGACTGCTGGAGTAGAGGTTGTTGTTGATGTCTCTATTTCTATTCCCTGCGCTGTCATGAACATGTCTCCAAGTTCCTTACTGCTCATTTGAAAGTTAGCACATTTGCCCTTACAAATGCAGACCAAGTGGAGCTAAGCTTTCCTGGTCTCTTTTGTTCATTTTGGTTTAAATAGTCTTTAGGGTGTCAGTCTTGAGAACTTGTACAAAATTAATTCCCTTGGAAAAAACTTTCAAAAGAGTGGTCTATGGATAAGCTTTGGACTAGGACATAATGCTGTTTTATAATTTTAAAAATGCCTCAAATAATGAACAAATCACATCACTGAGAGGAGTCATCATGGACTCTCAATTTGCCTACATAATTCAATAACTCAGACATATATTTGAATGATGATGATATATTCTAATAAAGAGCACACAACTTATTAATACATTTTTGCAGTATACAATTATTATATTCATGGTGGGGAGTTGATACATGTAGATAGCACATCTTAATTCTTTTTTTGTTCCCTTTCACAAAATTTGGAAATGAGGATCTGGCAGATGAGAAGCTAGCTGCTTCTTCTGTCTCCACCATTCAGTACTTAACTGACCATGGACCAGTCATTTAAATTCTGTGACATCCTAGAAATAGAAATAAGAAAATTCCACATATAGCAGTGGTTTCTAGATTTCTAACTTTAAAAAATCTAAGATTTCAACAAAATGCTTGTGAGAGATTTCTGGAATTGATAAGAATCCTAGCTTTTTATTGTCTCTGCCAAGAGTAACCCCCAATCTGTGTTTACTACCATTTAATATAACATAACCTATATTTCAAAAATTAATGCATATTTAGAATCCAACAAGAGTTTTTTAAAAAAAAAACATAATATCAAAATAAAGAACAATTCTTTAAAATATATTCTTTTTATTTCTGTTTAAAATATAGAATGCTATTCTCATTTATTTTATTTGCCACTGACCAGCAAAAACATCGTGAATGGGAACCTTTTACTGACAGGGTAAACAATGAACACTGCAACTATTAATAATCTAACCATTATTTTGCATATATGTAAAATAAATTAGACATCTGTTCAAGATGTATACCATTCTGAATCTTAACTAGAGAAAATTCGCACTGAATAAAAATTTTGAAAATAATAAAAATCAAGCAAAATTTAGTTCCCCATGCAATGACCCTGTTAGTAAAATAAAATCATCTTTAAAAGAAAATGTTATTACAAATTAAATATTCATTAGGTTTGCCTTTTTAGATATGTGAATTTTTTATTGTATATTAATTTTATTTAAATAATCTGCTGTAGTCTAACTAAATACATAAAAACTTTATTTTTGACTTACTTCTGGTATGATATTTAAAATCTAAATCTTGACATGAATACATAGGACAACATTTCATTTTCATTGGTGAAATTTTAACGTAACAAAACAGCTAGAGAGTCCTCATTCTATATCAAGTCTTATCCCACTAATAGTTCACTGCGCTAAGGCATCCTGTCTCATTTTGAAAAGTGAAATTTCTGACTGTAATTTAAAATTACTCCTAGATAAATTCAGCTGAAGTCAGGAAAGGTGTTGTCTTTATAAGGATAGCAAATACCAGAAGCATAACTAAATATCAACAAAATGCCCCTGGCAGTGTGAGTGGGGGATGAAATTGGCACATTCAGAATCAGAATAAGTGATATATTGCTGGCATCACTTATGAAGAAAAATAAATAGCACAGCAAACATTTCCCAAACAACATCTTCCTGAATCTTCCACACAATCTTCAGATTTAATATATGATAGAAACACACACACACACACGTACACACACACAGACACACACAATCACATTACCAAATGGAATTCATGCCTTTTAGAAAATTGTGAGAGAAGCTAATTGGAAGTTTTGATATCCACCACCTCAGGTCAAATTGATATGAGAATTAGTCATGAAAAGGAGAACAGGGAGATGAATCAACAATTAACCACAATCCCAATTATAAAAATTTAATCATAATTAATTTGCAAATACTAATTGTTGGCAGACTTCCCGTATTTAAAAGGAGATAGTAATGTATAATAGCCTCAACAGGGATAAACCAGATAAGCCAACCCAATGGCTAACTGCATCTGAAAACTGGCCAAGGAATCACTGAAGTAAAGCTCTCATACTGTTGGTTTTGGATTGAGAAGCACAATCTCTTAACAGTCAGAAGTTCAAATTTCATTTTTTGTATGATAATTAAGTGCAGACATTCGAGATTCATTCTAGAAACTCATTCAATTTGTGGAATTTTTATCCTCTATTGCTTCAACTTTTATGAAAATACATTCATGTGGTTTACTGCTAGATTTCGATTATTGTGGGATTCCATCCTTTCTAGGTTTTCAGGGCCAACACATGATTTTGAAATTTAATGGATCAGGTCATTTAAAAAAAAACTAAATTGAGGCTACGACAAGCTTAAAAAACACTACCAGTAAGCAAAAATGGGGAAACGCAGGAATCTACATATGCATCATGTTTTAGTGAAACAATTAATTGACTCTGTGCTTGTTTTGATCAGTTTTCCTGTTGCTGGGACAATATAGCTGATGCTTACAATGTAAGGGAGGAGAGGTTATTGAGGCTCATGGTTTCAGAGGTTTTAGTCCATGGTGAGCTGGCTTCAAGGCAGAGATATCGCTGCAGAAGGGTGTGATGCAGGAAAGCTGCTCAGTTTATGGTGGCCAAGAAGCAGAGTAGGTTGGACAGAGCCATAAAGGGAGGGGGCAGGGACAAGATATAGTCCCCTAGGTCATGCCTCTATGACCTACTTCTCCCAACTAGGTGCACCTCTTAATAGCCCATTCAGTTATGAACTTATCAATGGATTAACCTACCAGAGAGGTTAATACCCTCACAATCCAATCATATCACCAGGAGTCAGTCCAGTCAAATTAACAAGCAGGATTAATGGACATAGTACCTCAATGTAAAAACACAGGGTGGGATTGTATATATATCATCCACTGAGACACAAGGGACACTAAATACAGAACTTTGAAGGAAAAACTGAAAGAATAGGTCTTTGACTCAATTTGGCAGGTGCATCTTATCCATTTTTCCAATCAGGAGTCTCCACTCTATTATTTCCATTCCAATCTGCATTATTTTGCCTGACTCTCTGATAGTATACATTTACTTGCTTTTCTCCTTTTTTGTATAAATGTAAATATATTTATATATGTGTCTATTTCTACCAATATACATTCATATAATAACATTCTATAATATACAAGACCCTATTTGACATTTAATGTTCATTGCACTATAAGCATTATATACATACTGTATATGTATGCACATATATTATTTAATATACTTTATTGTTTCTATTCTCCCTTCCTCCTATGCATCCTAGGCACACAGCTACACATCCCTACTATCTCCCCACCCACCATTCCCCTACCACTATGTGCATGCTGGAAATTATTAATGACAGCAGGCCCTGAACTTCCAGTAGTTTCTCTCCATCAGAATATATCTTCTTTTTTTTTTTTTTTTTTTTTTTGGTACCAGGGATTGAACTCGGGTCCTTGCGCTTGCGCAGCAGGCAACGAAACTACTGAGCTAAATCCCCGGCCCTATATCTTCTTTTCTAATGAATCTAAAACTCATATCTATCAATTCATTTCTTTTCTGGTCTTGCTTCAATTTTCTTGTCATCTTATTCCACTTTCTGTGAAATACTCCATGAGGATCAGTCCAGATATTTTCTACTTCTATTGTACTCCACATGGGATACTCATCTAACCCTCACCTAGCTCAAACATTCCTTCTAACTCTTCTAGAAAGCTAATCTAGATTCCTGCCTCTTTCCCTGAGCAAATAACCGAGGCTCACAGTTTAATAAGGAAGTCTGCATCATCAAATGATTTCTTACCAATCACTCTCTTCTACTGGCCGCCACATATTCGTTCTTCTTTTTGATCTTGTCAGTTAAAATGTATAATTCTCATAATTTAAGCCTTTTTTACCTGCACTTGATGATCCACCTCTTTTTACTTCAAGAGAAACCTCACCTCTATGAACACTTTGTCTTCTATTGTCTTGCGCTTTCCCCTCAGTGTCTAAACCTGCTCAAATGTCTCTCGTCTTTGGAAACCTTCCCAGCACCCTATTTGCCTTTGCCGATGTCCTCTATTCTCTTTATACCAAAGATACTTCAGGAAATATCGCTACACTCCCCTCTTACTCCTACTTCAATATTAGTCAGCTTTAAGGTGGGTTTCACCATCAGCAGCCCAATTACTGCTTTAACAAGATGACCCAGAGATTCCCATCTTGTCAAATTCAGGGAAACCTACAGTATACATGTCTTGCTCAGTAACTTATAAGCACTTAACAGTGTTGGTTTCTCTTTCTTCCTGAAAATTCTTTCCTTCCTTACATACATCATGCCTCGTTCTGATATCTTTCCTTGAATATTGTTTTTCTTCCTCCCCTTCCCGGATTCCACTTCACACTTTTCTTTAGCTTGTAATGTTTTCCCAGAGCTCTGACACAGGTCCTTTGCTGTTATGATTCCATACAAGGAATAACAAAACATGGAATTTGTGCACCACACTCCTCTCCTGTACCCTTACAGCAATGCACATAGTAGACATTAACCAGTCATTCAAACAAGTTTGTGACGGTGGCCTGCTTTGGTGTCTTAACTTTTTGCTAACATTCTGTGGTATACAAGACCACTCGTGAAACACAAAACTATCAATCTATTAATATGATTAACACAGTGTCTTAAATACTTTATCATCTGTGTCCCTAAATTAACCACAATAAAGGATATTAGGTATTGTTCCCCTTACCCGGCTCTTAGAAAAATGCACAATGCTTCCAATTTTTTATGTGATTGAAATATGCAAATTTTGAGAGAAACCTTTCTTATTTTATAAGTTTTAAATTAAAAAAGAGTGAAGAAACTATACAATATCAAAATGATGGATACATTTCATTATAACTTTGTCCAAATTCATAGAATGAAGACAACCAAGAGTGAATCCTAACTTGGGTGATGAACTTTTGGTGATAATGATATGTCAATTTAGGTTTATCAATTGTTAAAAAGTTATCAGTCTAGAGGGAGATATTGGTAATGGAAGAGGCCCTATATCTGTTGGGGTGGGGGTATATGTGAAATCTGTGTAACTTTTTAATTTTGTTGCTCTAAAAATTATTCTATCAAAGAGAGAAAAGATAAGAAGAAAAATTAACCAAATTTTAAATCAATATAAATTGCGCATCTTTATTCCCATTATAACTTACCACAATTGTTATTAAATATTCATTTTATTAGCTTTTTGCTATATAAGATACATACATAGATACAGATAGATGTTACAATAATTTTCTAATGTACATTTCTAAAATTATCTAGTACCATTCTTCCTGTTGCATGTTAAATTCACATTCAAATTCTTTACATGTTAAATTAAATTACTTAGAGTTCTCTGAATAAATCTCACTATTTCATACTTTCAAGATTTAGGTATGTTATTCCTTTTATTCCTTCCCTCAATTAGTCTAACTTGTACTTTCTCAGCATTTGGTTCACCTTTTCCCAGGAATCCTTTGATGATTTGTCACTTACATAGACTCTACATGTTCCCTATCACTCAACTTAGCATTGAATAAATGCATGAACGAGTCTGAACTTTCTGGCAGGCAAAGGGCTTTGCCCGGCATTTCTCCTTGAAGCACTCCTACAACTTGCAAGGGCCTCCAAGTCTGTGCGCAGCATTTGACAGTGGAAACGACTGCTCTGCCCTTTGACGGTTCTAGTTCTAACCATTTCTATTTCTAGCTCCCTGAGTAAGATTCCTGTTTATTCTGAGCTCTCTTCCTGATGTTCCTTCTTTTCTTCCCCTCCCTCACCTCTTTACCTATTCTATTGCTAGGCATCCTTGCTTGTCAACTTAGTTCTAACTTCCAGTGAGCCTTAATTTCCACCGAAAGTGAATCTGTGACCCTCTTCTCTCTTTGCCGGATCCTGTGAACCTGCCACATGAGAGAGCGAAAGGCAGCGTCTTGCCCATTGGTTCCCTCATGGATGCCAAGAACCAAGCCTCTTGGATCCAAGTGAAGGACCTGGCACATAAGCAACAGACGAACAACTGAAGCCGAGTGAATAAGCACATCTTTAAACGCCCTTCCTGGAGACAGTAAACCTCATGGCTGCCACAGCTAGAGAATCCTCTCCAACCACAGTGCCTGGTACAGATGAGGGGCTTCCGACCCTGAAATCTCTGCTGAAGGTCGCTGGGGTCAAGAAGAGACTCGATGAAAGAAAAGTTCTAGGCATTCTTAGGATTGCCAGCTATCTGAATGGAATGCAACTTGGCCTCCAAATCTCTCTGTTATAGATCCTACCCAGTGCCATAAATCCACGTAAAATACATACGGCTGGGACTGCTGCTGTTTTGATTGCAGATCCGACACTGGGGGTTCCTCACCGGCTGCCCGGGGACGTGCTCCACCAGCTTGCAGTACATTTCAGGTCCTCGTTCTCCACAGGTCGCGTTGGTCGTAATGAGTGCGTTGGAAGCAAGATTCAGGACAGCAGGGAATAAACCTGAAAACGATGGACAAGCGAAGGTGTGTGAGCCAGAAACAAAATTAAGATTTTACTTTGTTTTATTTTATTTGTTAGTTATTATTACTATTTTTCCTTGTTTGCTTTTGGGGTTCAAGACTGCGCTTTGCTATTTAGTCCATTCTAGCAGTCCTCCTGCTTCAGCCTCCCAATTGCTGGGATTGCAAGCATGCACCATCATGCCTGCCTCTTTGAGTTTGCTGTATTTTAAAATGTAATTAAGGTAGGCTAGTTTTCACAGCATTACATTCACCCAAAATGAAGCAATTAGAGATAATTAAATATCTGACTTAATTCAGTATACCACATAAATACTACATGTAGTCAGGGGGACTTTTTTTTTCTGGGTCTTAAAAGTGGAATCAAGGCTATCTTCTTAATTTTTAAAGTCTAACATTTAATTAGAAAGGACATCTTTTTCTCAGACACTTTAAAAAGTTTTCATGTTATTAATAGAAGATCATACTGAATCTGATTCTTCCATCCTCAATTTCAGCTATTTTATATTCGGTATTAAACTAAAGTCACATATATAATTTTTGAACAACTATGCACCTCTTCATTGTCACTTTATGCTCTAATTATCATTTATATAAATAATTGTCACAATACCTTCCTATTCAAATTTGAGAAAATACAGAACAATGTAAGATTTTGGAGAATCATTCTCTTCTGCCTTTGGTACTACATAACTATAATACATAGCATGTCTTGCCAGAAACAAGTCACCAAAGCAGTCAATGATCATGTGTCACAAATTATTTCTTAGATACATAAAGGTGTTTGGCTTCCAGAGATACACTCTCAGATGCCCTTCTCTTCTAGGGGAGAGAGGCCTTTTGTAGCATCTGGGAATTCAATCCAGGTGCTTCACTTCATGTCAAGTGAACTCTTTACTTAAGTCAAGTCTGCTGCACATATGTTTAGTCTTTGCACTTTACAGACCTCTTTCCAGTGACATCACAATTATTCTGCCATCTAATATATTTTGAGCCCATACTACGCCACATAGTAAAAGATTTGGGAATGAATAATATGGCATTATCTATAGTAAGTGCTCTTGAGCTAAATTTTGATGAAAAAATAAAAGCTTCTCTGGTAGACAACAAGATGAATGCAAAAAAGCCAATCTATCAGGCGGAAGGGGTAGAAAAAGGCAGGCATGTGGACTTGATACAGAAAGCTAAAAAGGATGCCAAGTACCTGTCGGAGTACTTGCATCTATAATGGCTTTAACATATCAATCATATAATTATAGATATAATGCAATTGCAGAAGCATGTAGGTTAGACGAAGAATGTACATAATGACATACATAATGTGTGTGTGGTGTGCATAATGTGTGTACGTATGTGTGTATGTACAAACCACTCCTTATATCTCAGTATTACCATTTTTTTTAGTCAGTTTTATTTTCAGTTCTTTAGAAGTTTAATTTATAGTGTAGAAAAGTCGGTAGTAAGAAGGAAGAGATACACTGGGCATTCTGTTCAGAAAGGCCATATCCAGCCCATCATGCTGCTCCCCTGTAGGATGTGCTTAAGTAACCTAGCCCCGTCCAACCCCACAAAGCCATCCAGCCCACTCACCCAGGCCAGCCCTGGCAGCTGCCAATATCCCTGGCGCTTCCCCAGGGTATCGTCAGTTTGGCTCTTTGTTTCCTCCCTCACGGCTGACTTGGCCTGACCTTCACCATGACCTTGAATCCAGTTTGCAGGTCTGGAGAAGATCCCCCATATCCAGCCCCCCAGTCCCTGTAGGACCTGCCTTGGGATGGCCAGACCTGTACTCTCTCAAGCCTAAGTAATCATGCAAATGGGTCAAAGGGGAACATAGCAGAGAAAAATCACTCTATTTTATATATTTAGAAAATACAGACTAGGATTACATCCAGTTTCACCACAGGAATAAAAGAACAAGGGAAAAATGATATAGCTTTAAAAGGATTACAGATACAGAAACATTGATTCAGAAGCTATTTCATTTTTTAACATATTGTTTAATACCCCAAGAATCCCACTGTGTAAATCTTATTAATTCTCATTTACAGATGAAGAAAGTACAACTCAAAGAAGATACATTTGAAAAGTTAAAATTGATAATGTGATTTGAATTCAGCCCTATCAAAAGCTCAGAAGACTTTTGTCAGGGCATAGGAAAAAGTCAAAACCCAGTCCTCCACAATCCTTATTAATTGGCACATTTAGGAAAATTAATAACTTGGCCAGTTACCACTCCACTGTTGTTTATAGAGTTTTCTACCCATAAAACTCAATTTATTAATAAAATTTACACTTAGTAGCTTTCACTTCTCTCTATTGATTTTTTTCTATTATAAGTATTGATCATTTGCTGAAAATTAACCTTTTTCACAATGTAATTGCCTTGCTTTGTGGTTAGAGGATAGATGCTTTATGAATTTTCTCACAATTGTGTTGTTTATTTTTAAAAATCAGTAAAGTGTACTGGTCAAAGAAGGTCCCTAATGAGTAACTAATGACCAATTGGAAGAGTCAATCAATATCTGAGCTTTTATTGAAGTCAGTATGTTGCATTATAGATTGCAATCCATTTACATTATTTGCTAAATCTATTAGGCTCTACCTATTTATTCTCATTCAAAAGCATCAGAGCAATATTTATTGCTATATTCAATATGGGTTGCTTAAGATTATGTAAACATTAGGAGTATAAATGAACTACAAACAGCTGATGAACCTTTGTGAAGTATTGACTGAGAGCCACTCAACTCAATTGGAAGTCCTCTAATGTTAATGACATAAAAGCCAGCAGATCATTTTCCATAAAACTATGACTGAAATTTGTTCTGAATAGAATCTAGACTAAATAAGTCTCATTAAATTTGTAGTTATTGGAGAACAAAATCGAGTAATATTTATTCTACGATGTATATGAGGTGTGATCATAAAATAGAGTGAATCCTGCTTCTAAGTGCCATCCAACAGAAAAGCAGGGATCTTGAATACAAGAAGTGGTGCCCTGAACCTTAGTAACAGTGCGTGACAAGTTTGAACTTGTTCGCTGCAGTCAGTCATTGTGAGCTATAGTTGAGAGGTGTGTGTTAAAGTGTGTCATCGGTCATGGATCGCAGACATCATGCTTGAGTGGAGTTGCTCAATTATGATGCTTGGATTCCAGCTTTTTAAGAAATGTCATTACAGGAGACAAAACTTGGGACTACTATTATGATCCAGAGATTAAGGTTCCCAGTTCCCAGTAGAAATAATCCCACTCTCCTTGTGCAAAATAAGTACACCAATCAAGGTGATATTAATTTTGATGAAATTGTGCAAGCTGAGTTTGTACTCACGAGTGAATACTGTAAGAGCACTTATTGGAGCACTTTAGAAATGCTGAGCATACACAGTGGCCTGAGAAATGGTCAAAGGATTTCATCCTCCATCATGACAATGCTCTATGTCTCACACTACTTCTGGTATGGCAATTTCAGCCAAATCAAAATATTACAATGTTTCCTCATCTACCTTATTCCCTGCATCTGGCACCATGCAAATTTTGACTTCCCTAAAGTCAAAAGGACACCAAAAAGTAAAGGTTCTGAATTGATTCGGGATATCAAGGCAGCCATGGGTGATGCAACTAAATACTCTCACAAAAAAGGACTTTCAGAACTGCTTCAGAAAGTAGCCAGACTGGTGAGATAAGTGTGTTCCATGAAAGGAGGAGCATTTTAGGGACATTAATGACAATGTTCAGTTTACTGTAAGAAATGTTTTATGCAAACATTCATCAAAGCTATGATCATACTTCATATTAGAGATTAGAATATAGATGGTTTATAAAATAATATTTTCTATAATATACTTGTCAACTACACAATATTGGAAAATATAAGTCTAAATCAGGGGGAAAATAGAAATTCTGCTACAATAAACAAATATTTAGAAAATTCACTAAATTTTCAATGTATTCATTTGTAATACACTTGCTTCTTCAAATACTATGGCAAGTTCATATATGCTGTAAGTATTTTGGTGATCTGTATTGCCAACATGCATTTTTTTTGGAGACAGGGTCTTGATAAGTTTCCCAGGCTGATCTGAATCTCACAGTCCTCCTATAAGTCTCCCAAGTTGCAGGGGTTATAGATATGAATCACCATGCCCAGGGAACATTCTTTTTAAAATTTAGGAATCATTCCCATTGAAGCAAAACTTCTACAGATAGAAGCTAAAAATTCCTCTCCTCTCTCTCTTTCTCTCTTTCTCTCAACATAAAAGCCAATGATTATTATCCATACATATGAATATGGACATTGATAATGTGATTTAAACTCCGTTTATCAAGTATGTAACCCACCTGTGCCTGAAGAATTATATGACATCTAAGCTTTTATTGCAGCCAAGCAACCACTAACAAACAGAAGACAGAAAAATGTGTAGGTCTGGAAGAAGGAAAGACCTTAGGCAGTGGATAAAGCCCAAGTTCACAATATCAAGTGGCTAAAATTTAAATCAAAATCTATAGTTTTACTGGAAGGAAGAACTAAGAAGAGCCGAGCAGCTGCAAAGTGAAATCTTTTAACACAGACAGCCATAGAAAGGGAGCCTTAAGCTCTGCACACAAACTGCCTAAATTGCTTGTGGATGCCAGAACTTCCTAAGCCCAGGCAGACTCTAAATACTCCAACATGGGCTGAACTGAATGGAGAACTGAAGCCAGTTTATGCACATTGATGGTCATAGGGAAGATAAAAGTTCTGAGTTTGAGTCCAGCCAAGTTAACCATCTGATATAATGATAACAACAACAACAAAACAAGGATGAGGTAATGTTCTTCAGATGAGGGAGTATTCTTCAGAGGAACCTAACAAAATCCAGACTCTCTGCATTGTATCCTTCACAAAATACAGTCCACAATTTTTTTAAAGTACCAGACATATATAAAAATTAAAATGTAACCCATACTTAGGAGAAAATTCAATCAATACAGAAAAG